TATTACTTGCATATTTTTTTTTCTTAAGAATATAAAACATGTTTAATTCTTTTCATCATGTCCTGTGTTGTTGGGTATCGCTTTCCGGACCTTGACAAGTTTGACTAGGAGTAACATAATATCTACACGGTAAAGATGAATGAGAACCAAAATTCTTAAACACTTGTAATAGATATGTCCAACATCTAACTTTCAACTTCGAAAACCAAAAGATAGTCCACAGTCTAGTCGCAAGGGTTGTCAGTTAAGTTACTACGGTGAGAAAAGTCATCATTGCCCGTATAATAATCCAAGTCCATTATATTCAAAGTTCAAATGCTCTAAACTAAAAAGGCCTCTTTTGACGACGCTTTGCCACTGCGAAAATTCCATTTAAAACAATATCCAAATAAGCGGTATTAAAAATTATGTTCACTTAAAATGACACGAGCGCTAGAATTTGAAATTCAGTGTTTGAATTTTGAACTCTATTAATTATTAAAAGACAACTATAACACCTTCGAAGATAGGGGAGAAGCTGCGAGCAGACGAGCAAATTGAAGGATAAGTCGGACATTTCTACGTGCCTAACACGGGGAACATGGAGCCAGAAGCAATGGCTACGTCGGGTCCATAATTTCGCCAAAGTGTCCGTTGCGGTGGAAACGAAGTTCGACGAAGCTTATCATCCCAAAGGCCATTCGCTGTTTCTCTGCTTCCTGTACACCGTAACAGAGTTGAAACTCCCCCTCAAACGAGCCCTAAGAATGATGCGAGTTCAGTTCGTATCATTTCAAAAACGTGCTTTTAGACAAACCAAAGCCAGAATCCAGAAATAGTGTTATCATATAAATATTGATTCCCTGATCAAACATCTACAGTACCAAGTCAGAACAAGCTAAGGTGCATGTGAAGAAGAGATTGAAGAGGTTGGAAACTGCAGGTTGAAAGTTATTTTTCCCCAATTAATATTTTTCTTCTATTTCTGAAATGTTGCTGGAATAACCATTTTAATGTCTATTTCTGAAACCATATTTGTCCATCATATCATCTATAGACCATATATATTTTTTTCAAAGATAATAGACATATTCATTTGCAGAGTTGGAGTGTTAGAAATTCATTAAGTGGCAAGCTAGTTAGTTAATATTATATTAAAGGGATAATTACATAGATATCAACCGAAACATTGGTATTTACAAATAGACCCCCCATGTGATTTTCTTAACTATCAAATTGGTCTATGTAAATAAAAATGCAAAAAATATGGGTCGAATTTTATCATGAATTTTGATATTTGTGTAGAGATAGGGGG